TTTTTGTTTTTTTTTTTTTTTTTTTTTTTTTGTTCGTTATTAGAATTATTACTTTATTTTCCAAGGTTGGGCACTTTTTTAGGTAAGGGATGACAGGCGTAACCCTTTTCCAATACACGGCTCAGCCAGTTCTCCATGGCTGTAGCGAGGGGCTTGTAAAGCAACATCCTTTTTTAAACTAGAAAAAATAGCGTTGTAATGGGAAGTTTCTGCTATTAGCGATTGCTCTTGCGAAATTAATTTTTGCTCTCTCCAAACTTAAGTCAGTTGGTCGGAAAAGCTATGTATTTGACCGTTTCTTTATAAGTTTCTCTAAAGTATTTGGGAATTTGAAAATTTGGTCACCGTCGTCAAAATGTACATTTTCTTGCTGATAATTCAAGATTTTTCATGTTTGTTGGACAATTCAGCCTGTCTTTAAATTTGAAATGTTGGAGAGGAGAACTTATAAGAGTCTTTTCTTTGCCGTATGCCCTGTCTACGTTCTAAAGTTTTCTAATTCTGTTCAAATCGTTCTTTTTTAAGTTCTATAATTTTGCTGTGCTTGAAGGTAGGTGATCAGTAAGGTAAAGAGAAATTTATTTTTTCCAGACTTAGAATAACTCTAAATAATTCACTACATTTTTCAGCAGGGATTTACAGTATACAAAAGTAGAAATTTTACAAAAATGTTACAAAAAAAATTTCGCTTTTAATTTTACTTAGGAAGTATATGTTACATGAGACTGCTTTGCGCAATAAAAACTTTAGAGTAAGTTATCTGTAGGGTTGCGTATTGCACTCGTTGATTTCCGTATCAGAGGATGATTTCAGTCTCTTTTACCGAAGCTGATTTGCTAAGAGTGGATTGTGACAAAATGGTTCCTGCGTTTGCTATAAGCGAGTTACAAGCAAAATGCAGAGTGGAGTTTGTGTTTCTCATGCTAAAAAATCCAACTCATATATAAACTAAGTTTTAAACTTCCAAATAAGTCAAGCTAGACCTTTATGGAAGTTTTAAACTAGTTTTAAGTTCATATGGATAAGAAATTTGTTTTAAGGTTGTTGGTTTACGAAAAATAGTTTATGAAATAAAGACATGGGATTTTTAGTATTACTTCTACTTCCTTAAATGCTCTGTTGGAATGTTCTTTGGGTCTTATTCCTATCACAGACATTTTGAAAACAAGCTTCGGTGATGGATCATAAAGGCAGCAAGTAAGACGTGTGAAAATTAAAGCAGCTTTCAGTTTAAGATCGCCTTTTATAGTAGCTTTGAACAGCTAAATGTATTAGTCTATCAACCAGTATGTCATCAGAAGTTCTTGATTCCCCGTCAAAAGGAAAAAAAAAACTGTTTTTGAAACCTGCAACTAAAGTTGTTTTCTTTCTGCAGTTAAGAATTTTAAAGGAAGTTTTTAGGTGATTGATTGATTAAAAAACAAATTTTTCAATCATTTGAGTTAAAAAACTATTTTACATATGTGAATACTTCATGTATTTTCACTGATTAAATTTTTTGGCTCAAAATGCAGAAATCTTTTTGTCGAGCAGAACTGTCAACCAGCTGCACTGCAACTCGTTTCTTATTCTCTTCTAGTTAAATAATCTTAAGTCACTAGGCATATACAGTTAAGATTGCGTGAGGCTTCAGAAAAGTCTATGGAATGATATCATTGTAAACATTTTATCTGTTGCTTTGGTGAATTTTACTGCAAAATTATGCTCATTATAAATAATTTAGCTGTACTTTGGTGTTGATGGGTGTTTAACAATTTCAGTTGTAAGTGAACAAGGAGAGAGATTAGCCAGATTGTTTTTTAGTTGAAGTTCAGCGAGGAAGTTGATTTTCCAATTTTTAATGATTTTTTAATGGTCATAAAATCGCAATCTTTTTGACTGGAGTAACATAGTGTAAAAAATTTTGTTTCAGATCCTGAGCTGAAAGAGCTGGCTGAAACTGATACCGAACTTATTGTAAAAGAACTTGACCTGTTAGCCAAGCAACTGGCTTGTGCCATTGTACCTCGAAATCAATTTGATGATCTTAAACAGTGTCAGCTGGAACTTACTGCGTAGGTTTTTCTGCTCCTTATACTCATCAGCGTAAGCCAAATTGACAGCACATTTTTCAGTGGGGTAGGAGGTACAGAAGCGATGCTGTTCACTGGGGAACTTCTTTCTATGTATGAAAAATTTGCAGAACAGTTAGGCCTTCAATGGACTGTTTTACAGTACGACCCTGTCCAGCTTGGCAAGTAAAGCTGTTTTACCTTTATTCTGTTTAAATGGTCATTTTTGAAACCCTGTTTAAAAAACTGCAACCGTTTATTGAAAGAGTTAAGAAATGGTAGTAATAATCCATCGAAACTATAGAAATTGGACGACTTTTGGAATAATTTGGAAATGACGGGCGATATAAATCACTAAACATTTTGAAATTCATTCAAATTTTTCTTAGACTTGCTGCAGGTGGGTAGTACGAGGTTTAGGAAGGTGGTTTGGAGGAAAGGAGAATGTGATATGAAAGACTTATAATGAGACGAGGGTGCTGAATTTTAGCACTTATGGAGCTTAATTCTTTTTGATTTAGGTTTTTGAAATGCCGTTAAATTATGTTTGCCTGAGTAGTTTTGTTAGGTGAGGGTGCGCTTTAAGGCTGCTTCAATGGCGACAGCTGAAGATGGAAATAATTTTGTACAAGAGGGTTAGAGTAGGACAAGGATGTCGGCAGTCCAGGGGAATTAATTATGCAACGGAGTACCGTCAAGCTCGCCCCGCTTCCCCTTATAGCGCATGCTGTCTTCTTCTCGTTGACGTCACTGTTGCTACTATAGAGTGCAGTTTTTGTCAGAGTTGTTAGAATAATTACGCTTTGTACGGAGCTTAAAAAACAGTAGATTTTTTTCTATAAAGACTCTATATTCAATGGAAAAAAAGAACTTATTTTTATTCTAATTAAGCGTTCTATTGAAGGTGGCGTTAGGAGCGCTGTAATTCTTCTTTCTGGAACCAGTGCGTATCAGAATTTTCGTTTTGAAGCGGGTATTCATCGTGTTCAGAGGATTCCCTTGACCGATAAGACACGGATGCATACTAGCACTGCAAGTATAATAGTACTTCCAGAGCCAGAAGAAGTAAGTTATAGAGCATTTGTAATTTTGTGAAGGTTTTCAATCTTTATTTGCTTTGACGTAACGTGAAATTTTGAGAACTCATATATTGCATTCATTAGTTACTTTTTTTATATTCTTGGCTAGGTAGAAGAAAATCTAATGTTTGTCTAGTTTAGATCGAGTCTTATGTCTCTCCGAAAGATGTTAAAATGGAAACCATGAGAGCTTCTGGTCCGGGTGGTCAGAACGTTAACAAACGTGCTACAGCTGTTCGTCTTACTCACAAGGAAACTGGAATAGTCGTCCACTGTATGGATGAGCGCTTTCAACACGTGAATATTCAAGTAAGTCAGGCTTTTTCTAAAGAATTAATTCACGGTGTAATACTCTGGTAATTAGGGTAATTAAGGACTATTTCTACTTAGATGGTTCTTACTTTGTTTCAGCCTTTAAAATGAAATAAGACTTAAGGCACCTTTATTTTAGTAGGTACCACTGCCAATAAAAAGGTGCTATTTTGCATTTCATCTTAGTAACGTTGTTGGGAGCTTTGTTGAAATCACATTTTTAGGATGCCCATCCAACAATGTTGAGTTTCCCATTAATTTTCTTTCAACAGTCAATCTTTCTTGTTAACCTTATTCTGATCTTAATTTTATTTTCAAATTTTTCACACGATTACAAAAGTGGAAGGTTTTAACCACTTTTAAAAAGCGTGCTTCTTCATTTTTTGGAATCCTCAAGGAACAGTGAGGAGCTTCGAGTCAAACCTTTGAAAACACTCGTGAAGTTTTCGGCGAAATACTCATTAACGCTTACTGCAAGAAGGATCTGCCACTTCTTTCGTATTCTGTAGAGTTAATTTCTTAAGGATTCGGTTGTGGTAGCTACATGTTTTGGCATTCACTCTTTAATTTTTTCAAAAACTTACATTTTTGTCCTTTATGGCCTTCCAGTGGTTACACCGGAAAGTTTGGCATATTTCTGTTCTTTTTACTGAATGTCGTCTTCGCACTTCTGTGGTTTTGTGTGTTGAAATCTGTAATGACGAAGTATTTTGAGACAGCTGTTTTCCAATTATCGCTTTTTGACTGTGATTCTTCTACAAGGCTTCTTTTGTTACTTAAAAGCTGGCTTTTACTCCACATTATTAACACACAATCATCCTAACGTAAGCAATTGAAGAACCCCATTAGTTACTGCCACGCCGCTCATCGTTCTGCTTCCGGCTTAAGACGGGAAAAGAGCTTTTCAAAGATGACTACTCAGAAAACCTTGTTTTGCGAATTTTAAAGCCAAATTGTACAGAAAAAAAAGAAGTAAACTGTTTGTAGGATGGTAAAAGGCTGATCGCAAAAAGCTAAAAAGGAATGTCCACAAGGCAGTAGGAAAGCAGGTTGCAAGATTTGTAAGCCAGGAGACCCAAAGTCTTAAAACACCAAGGAATACAACGAAGAATACATTCCCTTCTTTTTGGAATTTAAAGTCCTAAAAAGCACAAACAAAAGTTGTTTTTCAACCCCAGATTTTTGGAAGTATGGAAATGAATTGCTGTATTAATTAGTTCTTCTTGAAATTTTCACAGAAAAAAGTGGAAGTAAGTTTCTTTAAAGAAAGTGGATTTTGGTAGACGCATCATAGCATGAAATGGAGCTTTTTATTTTTTTCATTGAAACAGGAAAAAAAGTATGAAATTTGAGTTTGACTGTCATTTTATTTTTACAAAATTTATAAGTATTTCCAGGCGTAGCCCAACTTTCTCATTGAAATTCACTACAGAATTTACATTCGTCTAATTTAGATCGCTTATCGTCGTTTGGCAGCGATACTTATGCAGAGGCAACAAGACGCTTTATATGAGAAGGTTTCTTCAGCACGGAAACTTCAGGTATTAGTATAGTAATGTCGGCGGCTTGCTGCTGAATAGAGAAAACGTATTTCAGAATTATGTAGCTTTACCTCCAGCAATTCGGCTAACGGAAAAATTTGACATTTTCTTCACGAGTCGAATGAGTTTGCGTTTCAACTCGCGTTTTCTGGTTGAGGAAATGTGCCCTTATTAGTATTGAATTCAAAAATTACTTTCTACAGCATCTTATTATCATGCTAATATTGAGAGAGCAAATCCCTGTCTCTCTGCCTTTTATGCGTTGAATCTGCGTGGGGTGCACGAGTTTCATGCATTGCAGCAGGCCGGCCCACAGATTTTCAATTGGTTGAAGCATTTGAAAAATACCATTTTTAGCAATCAGCGGAAAAAAATATTCTCGTTTCGGTTACTGATCATCATGCTGTAGCAAACCATACTAAAAATGCTTGGATTTTTGAATGCGTTTTGAAGCAAAGTTTTTGAAAGTGTGCTTAGTTTTGAGGATTTATTAATTTCACAGGTCTTTTTTCCTTCTGTTTCATTCTGCAGTGATTTCATTTCCTATACTGTAGTTTTTTTGCGCTGTGAAGAAAAGTCGGAAAAGTGACTGTTCTTTAACGTATAACGGCTTGCAAGAGAGAGTACTGGGAACCAAACGGAAGTTGACTCTTTGGGAGCTAAGGTGGACACTAAGGACATTTTATAGAGCAGCACGAGAAGACCATCTGCTTTGTTTAAAAAAGATGTTTTTGATAACGTAAGCTTCAAAACAATGGGAGTGAAGGATATTATCCGCTGCGGTCAAATATGCAGAAAAACATGGAAATAGGATGAGGTAAAGTCAAAAGAGCGCTGCATTTCTTTGTTTTAGTTTTGTGACAAGCGGTACTTCTTCATTATTGATGTCAGGGAAAGAAATTGTTTTAGACCGTAGCTGCTTCGGCCTACCTACGCCTGGCTGCTTATGCGGTTGCAGTCGAAAAATATCCTTTAATTTCTTTGCTTTTACCAATTAAAACCTTTTCACTTTTTAATAAGTGACAATGTAAAAAAGTCTTTAATTTTAAATGAATAGTCGCTATTTCATTTCCTCTTGCGTCTCATTTTCTTTGCGATCTAGCACTTTCTTTGGCAAGAAGTGGACGCGGCCTTTCTAACAGATGAAGTTTAAAAAATAATGCTACATTTTGCTTGTGTTTTACAGCGCTTTTTCGGTAGGCGGATTAAAGTATGGGTGTACGGCTGAAAACTGCTTAAACGGCGCAGCTACCGTAGAGCTGCTACATAATTGGATGCGTCATTCAAAACTCTCATTAAATTTCATTTCTGTTCATGTGTGGGATTATAATGGGGAACTGGCAATAACAGTGATAATTTTATGGAGTTCCAAAATCTTGCACCCAGTTTTGTGAAAGACCCGGCTGGAAAAGTCAGTTTGTCAGCAGGTGACTCCGCTCATATGAGTAGTAATGTTAAACTTTTAACTCTGTTTGCGTTGGTGGTGAGATAACATGAAGTAGATTAAAAAAGAATTGCGCTGAAGATTGGCTCTAGGTTTCTTAAACCGTAACAGTCCAAACTGTATGCGCTCTTAACAGTATTTCCTGACTCACCGGCTGAGCTCTAAAAAATAAGAACCAAAATATTGGGCAATCAGTTCCGAAGGAAACGACTTCAGAAATCAAGTAATTTTAGCTGAATGCGATGCACCCGAGTCGAACCTAACTCATTTACATTTGAAGAAGTGGTGTCTGAGGGCCTGCAAAAGTTTTTTGAACTGCAGTTCCCTAGAGACTCCTCATCGGCCTGTCTTTTCCCCTTTAAAGTCCCAAGACTTCCAGCCGAAACCCAACAAATGCTTGAGTTATCGTGAGTTTGGCTAATTACTAATTCAAACTCTACGAGCCCCCCTCTGCTGAGCATAAAAGATAGCTAACAAGGCGAGTGCGACTTCTGATACAGGGCACCATAGAATGAGTCATGTTGAGCTACTCCACAAGTATTGCATAAAACATGGGATATACTGTAAAAAGTGGACCTTTTAGCGCAGATCTACTGTTAGAAGCCGTTTCTCTCGATGCGTTTCCCAGTCTCTCCATTCATAGTCAAAAACAAAAGGTGTGCCTGCTATCATCTCAGACAAAGCACGTCTTCTTTTGGTATCACCAAAAAGCCGCTACATTTTTGCATTGCAGAACCTGCTGTTTTTTGCAGATGGGATCTAGAGGACGAGCAGAAAAAGTTAGAACGTACAACTTCAAAGAAGACAGGATAGTCGACCACCGGTTACGCATGACCGTTCATGGGATCGACAGCTTCATGAATGCAGGGCCAAATTTCACGGCGTTCAGCAATGCGCTCCAAGAGCTTTACCTTCTAGAACAGATGGAAGGTGTGTTAGACGGGAATGTTTCCACTTAGGACAAAGTAGTTCCAAAATCGCTGTAATAAAGTCTTTGTAGCTTAATACTGTTATTGTGCCAGCTAATGCTGAGCTGTACAATGGCTTAACGAGGTCAAGGACACAAAACGAAGCAGTTAACTAAAGGAAACGAAACGACAAGCTCAATTTGCATCAAACAAAATACAAGACACAATGGACATAACGAGGATCACATGAACTGTGTATGTAGTCAATAAATTATTCAGGCAG